GAGGGTGGCAAAGTGAGACTCTGTCTCAAAAAAGAAAAAAGAAAAGAAAAGAAAAGTGAGTGGGCAACTTGATGAGAACTGTGGTATCATGAGGTATTTTGGTTCTCTATGAAGACTAAAAGATGGCATCTCAATATATATTCTTGAGTTATTTTTCAGAAACCCCCCCTCACCTGATGGAAAATACAGGTAAGGGGGAACCCAGAAATTGAACTCTGACCACCATTCTTTGTCCTAAATTTCCCTCTAAGGGGCCTATTACACCCATTTTAACATTCCTTTCCACTAATCCAAGAATCTCTGAATCCACATATGTTATCCCCCCACCCCAATTCCCTTCAGGATATTCTACCTTTTGGGGCCATGCCAGTCTATCACTTCCATATACTGATTTATAATTTTGACTGGCTAAAACGTACCCCTGCCTTTGAAAGCCCTGGTTTGTAAGCCAGCAGGGAGTCTGGTCCTAGGCATTAGCTGTCCATTCTCCTTGCTTGGCTTCCTGCAATAAGGCCTTTTCGTCCTACTGCAACTATTGGCTTCAGGGTTTGGCTTTGCTGCACAAGGCAAGTGGATCCCAATTTGGTTTAGTAATCGGTAGCTACCAGGAGAAATGAAAACTATGTCCGCACAGAAAGTTGTACAAAAATGTTCATATCAGTATTATTAATAGTAACCCAAACAGTAGAAGTAACCCATATGTCAATCAGGAAATGAATGGATAAATACTTTGTGGTATATCCATAAATAGGAATGTTATTTAATAATATTAAATGGAATGTTATTTAATAAAAAGTAATGAAGTTCTATCACATCTACAATATAGATGAATCTTGAAAACGCTACGCGAAGGCTAAGCTAGTCACAAAAGACCATGGATTACATGATTTCATTAGTGAAATGTCCAAAATAGGCAAATCTCTACAGCAGAAAGTAGAGTAATGATGGCTTGGAGCTAGGGTGACTTGGAAGTTGGAGAGCAATGGCTAATGCTTTTCTTTTAGAGTGATGAATGGTTTTGGTAATATTTGCATAACTTCATGACTATACCAAAAATCATTGAATTGTACATTTTAAATAGGTAAATTTTATGGTATGTGAATTATATTTCAATAAAGTTGTTGCCAAAAAATTAACAATGATAAATTCTTTATGTGTTAATGTAATATATATGTGTGTGTGTATATGTGTGTATATATATATATATTTTTTTTTTTTTTTTCTTGAGACAGAGTCTCACTATGTTGCCCTCGGTAGAGTGCAGTGGCGTCACAGCTCACAGCAACCTCAAACTGTTGGGCTTAAGTGATTTTCTTGCCTCAGCCTCCCTAGTACCTGGGACTAGAGGCACCTGCCACAACGTCCAGCAACTTTTTTGTTGCAGTTGTCATCGTTGCTTTAGCTGGCCCAGGCCAGGTTCGAACCATCCAGCCCACTGAGCTATGGACACGACCCTGTAACATATCTTTTGAAAAATTATATTCTTTTCTAAAGAAAGAATAGTGGGATAATTCTACATTTTCTCAAATACCTTTAATGTCAGTGTATAATAGAAGATTGTTGGTTCTCATATCTGCTTCTACATTCAGTCTGTTACATCACACATCATGTAGCCTTTGTAACATTCCACCATACGCTTAGGAGAGAATGAACATTAAAAAGGAAAATAGTATCTTAGTATCATTATGAAAATAGTTTTGGCTCGGTGCCTATAGCTCAACCGGCTAAGACGCCAGCCACGTACACCTAAGGTGGCGGGTTCAAATCCCCAGCCCGGACCCGCCAAACAACAATGACGGCTGCAACCAAAAAATAGCCGGGCATTGTGGCGGGCGCCTGTGGTCCCAGCTACTTGGGAGGCGGAGACAGGAGACTCGCTTGAGCCCAGGAGTTGGAGGTTGCTGTGAGCTGTAATGCCACGGCACTCTACCCAGGGGGACAGCTTGAGGCTCTGTCTCAAAAAAAAAGAAAATAGTTTTAACTTTCCAGACTTCCTGAAAGAGTCTTATGGACCGTCAGGAATCTCCAGGCCTTTAAGAAACATCTCTACTGTAAAATTAATTATTTTCTCCTTTGTTATTAATAAGAACCTTGTTGAGACGTACTTTCAGGTTCAGTAAATACTTCTTCCTTTATTTTATTTTTTTGAGACAGAGTCTCAAGCTGTCACACTGGGTACAGTTCCATGGCATCATAGCTCACAGCAACCTCCAACTCCAGCTCTTGCCTCAGTTTTTCTATTTTTAGTAGAGACAGGGGTCTCGCTCTTGCTCAGGCTGGTCTAGGACTCATGAGCTCAAGCAATACACCCACCTCAGCCTCCCAGAGTGCTAGGATTACAGGCCTTTGAGCCATCGCACCCAGTCCTTCTTTTCTTTTGAGACATGAGTTTTGTTATGGTGCCCTCGGTAGAGTGCCATGATGTCACAGCAACCTCAAACTCTTGGGCTTAAGTGATTCTCTTACCTCAGCCTCCCAAGTAGCTGGGACTACAGGCCCCCGTCTCAATGCCCGCCTATCACAACGCCTGGCTATTTTTTGTTGCAGTTGCCATTGTTTAGCTGGCCCGGGCTGGGTTCAAACCCGCCAGCCTTGGTGTATGTGGCCGACACTGTAACCACGGTACTACGGGCACCAAGCCATTTTCTTTCTTTCTTTCTTTTCTTTCCTTTTTTTCCTTTCTTTCCTTTCTTCTCTCTTTTCCTTCCTTCCTTCCTTCCTTTCTTCCTTCTTTCCTTCTCTTTTTGTCTGTGGATGTCTGTCTATCTCACTATGTCGCCCTGGGCAGAGCGCTATGACATCATAGCTCACAGCAACCTCCAACTCAGGCTCAAGCAATCCTCTTGCCTCAGTTTTTCTATTTTTAGTAGAGACAGGGTCTCATGTTTGCTCAGGCTGGTATTACATTCATGAGCTCAAGTCCACCCACCTCAGCCTCCCAGAATGCTAGGATTACAGGCGTGAGCCACCACGCCCGGCCATTTTCTTTTGCGATAGGGTCTTGCTCTGTTGCTCCAGGTTGCAGCAAAGTTGAACGATCTTAGTTCACTACAGCCTCAAACTTCTGGGTTTTTTGTTTGTTTGGGGGTTTTTTGAGACAGTTTCACTATGTTGCCCTTGGCAGAGTGCTGTGGTGTCACAGCTTACAGCAACTTCAAATTCATAGACTTAAGTGATTCTCTTGCCTCAGCCTCTCAAGTAGCTGGGACTACAGGCCCCCGTCTCAATGCCCGGCCATTTTTTTGTTGTAGTTGTTTAGCTGGCCCAGGCCAGGTTCGAACCTGCCACCCTTGGTGTATGTGGCTGGTGCTGTAATCAATGTACTACAGGTAGCAAGCCAGCCTCAAACTTCTGGGCTCAAGCGATCCTCCTGGGTCAGCATCCCCAGTAGCTGGGACTCCAGGCACTTGCCATCACATCCAGCTAATTTTTCTGTTTTTGTAGAGACAAAACATAGAAAAATGTTGCTCAGACTAGCCTCAAACTCCTGGCCTCATGCATAGGTAACCCAGAGTGCTGGGATTATGGGCATGAGCCTTTGGGTCTGCCCTTGCTCCTTACTAAACTTATTTTTAATTTTGTGACAAGAGTCTCTGTTGCCCCAGGCTAAAGTGCCATGGCCTCACAGCTGACAGCAACCTCAAACTCTTTGGCTGGAGTGATCTTGCCTCAGCCTCCTGAGTAGCTGGGACTACAGGTGCCCACCACAATGCCTGGCTAGTTTTTCTATTTTTAGTAGAGACAGTCTTGCTTTTGCTCAGGCTGGTCTGGAACTCCTTAGCATCAAGTGATGCTCCCAACTTAGCCTCCCAGAGTGCTAGGATTACAGGCCTGAGCCACCGAGCTCAGTCTTATTAAACTTTCATTAGTGGGTGGCCATTGACAAGCTTTATTATACAGTGTCAAACACTGTATTATGGTGTTTGGCAAATTATGGTTTTCTGCATCATTGTTCCTTCATTTTTGTTAGTTG